ATTGCATCAGACCCTCCTCCTCTCTATGACACAAAAAAACTTAGACCTATATCCTTGGGTCTTGTGGAATGAAAGAGTTAATCACTAAGATGACCCAAGTCAAGTCAAGTCAGCTTTTATTGTCAAATATGCTCTATGTGTAACATACAGCACAGATGAAATTACTTTCCTCTCTCAACCACAGTGCAAACATGTAGTGCATTGAACACACACAGCTAAAATTTACATTAAAATTCCATAAGACATAAATATATAAATATGTTAAATAAAATTAAATAAATAGCAACAACAGACAACCAAGGGCACTTGTGATTATTGTATATTCATATTTACTTGTTTTAAGTGCAATAATCGGATGTCAGATGCTAGGGGAGGGACACCGATTGTGGCAGGAGGCAGGGGTAGACGTGCGGGGCGGGCAGAACATGGTGGGAGTTTAGTCTCCTGACTGCCTGGTGGACTAAACTGTTCTTGAGCCTGGTGGATTTAGCAGAGAGACATCGCAGCCTCCTCCCCGACGGCAGCACATCGAAGAGGCTATGAGACGGGTGGGTAGGGTCACCTGCGATCTGGGTGGCTTGGCGGGTCAGATGACAGTTGTAAGTGTCCGCGAGTGGAGGAAGAAGACCCAATACTAGAGTCCTACCAAAAAACCTAATGGATTCTTTCTTGGGAATTTGTGTTTGTGATAGTTGGGTAATTATGTCGTTTTTGCACCATCCAACCAACAGTCCATTTTTTTAGAGCGTCTCACCTTAGCCCAGGGAGGTTCTTAATTTGGGTGGTGATTGGTCTGTTTTCACTTTTCAGACACTAGGTGATAACAGAATGTGACAAACTGAGCCAGGAAACAGTATTACAATGCTTGCCTCCTCAGTTCATTGACGTAACCTGTCTGATGTGTCAATCGAGTCGTCTCCTCCCAGTTTGGGGGCGTTGCAACTTTTGCTACAATTCATCACAAAATAACCCTTAAATCACAACAGAGTTTTTTTTCAGGTGGGTGAATTTTAGTGCTGACATAAGTTGACGTACAGGCCTATTATGTGAGTGTCAATTTTTAACCCAATCAAGTGTCCCTTGAAGTACCTTAAAGCATTGAAAATCAATTTCACTATCCGTAATTTTAAAAAGCTACTTTTTATTTCTTTGCTTCTAAATGCTTTGAAATCTTTTGGTATAAATGTGTTTGAGTGTTGTAAATGTACGTCCTTCTTGTAATTCTTTGTAGAGCCACTTTTGTTCTCTTTGCTTTTCCTTTGAATGTCTTTTGCTTTTTGTTTGCAAATGCTTTTAAATGTTTCACTTTTGGTTGTGTGAAAGACATTGAGTTGTCTAGTGTATGAAATGTGCTATATAAATAAAACTGCCTTGCCTTTGTGTTTTGTTCAGTATGTTCAATACCTGGAGACGCGCAGTGTGGATGATGTTCGGGCTGTGTACAAGCGAGCCTGTCTTCACCTGTCTTCCAGTCCGAACCTTCACATGCGAAGGGCCACCTTCGAGGAGAGACATGGTGCGCGGCAACCCAATAACTTCTCCTGTTGATCCATTTTCAGTTCTGTTGTTTTTGCCTGTGTCCCCTCTTTTCTCACCATGCATCGTTTTGGCCCTCAGGTGACCTGGCCGAGGCTCGGCGTGTGCTAGAGGCTCTGGATAAAAACATGCCAGGTTTGGCCGTAGTTCGTCTCCGCAGGGCCGCTTTGGAGAGGAGGGCGGGCAAACTCGAGCAGTCGGAAGCTATCCTCCAGGAGGCGGTGAGCCAATCGAAAGAAAAGCCCACCTTGCACGCCTTCTACTCCATCAAGCTTGCTCGGCTGCTGCTGAAGCTCGGGAGAAACCCCGACAGAGCTCGCAGCGTTTTACAGGAAGCACTGGAGATCAGTCCGGTGAGCGCTAAGTAACTGTTCTGGAGACCGCTGAACTTTTCAGCTTTTTCTAAGAGCTGAAATGATTTATGGAATAACTCAAATGTATTCGATGACACATAAAAGTAGAAGAAAAATGTGTACCTCGAAGCTTTGCAGTGATTATTTTTCCATATGGACTACTGTTAAGGCAGACTCATCTGCCAGTCTATTTAAATAAGTTGGCAAGCCAGCAGGAAAGAATGTATAAAAGACAGAATGTCCAATACATCTTTCACAACAGCTGCAGCTGTTGCAAAGCGCTTCACAGAACATTTAACATAAAATAACAATACAACAGAACACATAACATAAAACATCAACAACAACACAATCCCAGCTTTTTGGGAACGTGTTGCAGACAAAATTCTAAATTCATGATTACTTGCTAAAACAAGAAAGTTTATCAGTTTGATCATGGACTATCTTGAATTTGTAAATATCGGTTGAACATTATTTGCAAATCGTTGTATTCTGTTTTATGTTTAACTTGACGTCCCAACTTCATCTGAATTGGGTTTGTAATGAAGATTATCATCGATTATGATTATTTCAGTATATAGTGTATACCTTTTGTGTTGTTTGTGTGTGGTGTGCCGTGACATTTTTCAAATGGAAAAATATGTGGGTTAGCTTCTTAACTCTAGCAAGACCTATAAAATGCTAGTCAGTGTCAGTCACGCTCTGAAAACATGACATGTGAAGCTCGACAATTCTTCTCACTGTCAGGGTAATGACAAGCTGCACCTGAACCTGCTGGAGTTGGAGGCATCAAGTGGACCGTGGTCTTCGGCTGATGCGGTGCAGGAGTGTGTGACACGAGCCCTGGCAGCGCCTCTTGCACCGCACACCAAACTCCTCCTCTCACAGCGCTGCCTCCAGTTTGTGGAAGAGTACAGCAACTCTGTCCAGAGGTCAATTCTCATTCCATCAGTTTTTTTTTAATATATTTTATTTTCATTCCCAACGGTGCTCGTGCCTCACAGCCTGCCTCTATATCCTGCTTAGTGTGCTGTCGGTTTATGAAGAACACCAGAAACTCCTCAAAGAGCTGGGCGGGACAAAGAGAGAAGCGGAAAACAGGTGAGGAAAGAGGAACAAGACAGAAGAGGCCAACCATTAGATATATGGACCACTGCAAATTGGAGAGAATGTGTGGAATTTCTGGATGGACAGGTCCAACCGTTTAGAGTTCTCTTGGAATGCAAATAACGATTATTCTAATAATCGATTAATCTGTCAATTTTGTTGATTAATCAATTAATCCTTTTTTTGGATTCAATTTCCATTCCACCCTCTGTGAACCTACGTGCTGGGAAAAAATTTTTTTTTTACTTGCCGTCAAAAATCCCTCAAGGGACACATTTACTGTTCAGCAGTGTAATCACTCCGCTCTGATGGAGAACCACAGAAATCTGAGAAAATATAACGTTGAAAGGCTGAAATCGAGGATTTGGACAATTTTGAATTAATCGCTTTGAGACCTAGTTTATCAAAAATGATTATTGATTAATTTTATATTTTGATTTTGGATTCATTTGTGGGGCAGCATGGCTCAGTGGGAGAGTGGTCATCTTCTAACCCAGAGGTTGGGGGTTTGATCCCCAGCCAATATGACCGTGTCAAAGTACCCTGAGCGAAATACTGAACCCCCAGTTCCTCCTGATGCTGCGTCATCAGTAAGTAAATGAGGAAACAGTGTGAAGCGCTTTGAGTACCAAAGGTAGAAAAGCGCAATCCAAGTGAAAGTCCATTTACCATTTATTAGTCAATTTGGTTTTGATGAATCATTTGCAGCTCGGCGGCCTGGTGGACGAGTGTTTAGTGCGTCGACCTCACAGTGCAGGGGTTCGAGTCCAGCTCAGGCCTTCCTGTGTGGAGTTTGCATGTGCCTGCGTGCATATGCATTTCTGTGACTCTTCCAGTCTCTGTGTTGCAACTTGCTGATTACACAGCCCTTCCTAATTATAAAGAAGCACAGGACAATGGTCACCACCACGCTTCTTCTAATTCCCCACAGAGACGAGGACCGAGAGAAGGTGATCAAAAGCGATGACGCCCCAACAGATGATGCATCGGCACAAGTCCCACCCACTGATCTCCAGCTCCCAATCACTGTACCGCCTTCCCCGGCGATGACCATGGATGTGAACGCCCAGTCTGGTGGCTATGGCGGATACAGCAACTGGTATCAGGTTGGAATGAATTTGTCTCTAAAATGGATTTCAACTGATTTCTCGTTGCGTAAGTAATTTGCTTTTCCATTTGCCAGCAACCACAATACAGCAGTTATGGCTACCAAAACACCTGGAACTACAACCAGGGATACTATCCACCCAGCTAAAAATTGCTAAGAAGAACTAAATGAGGCACCAGGACTAAAAAAAGAAACTGAAAGAGCCAGTCCTCCCAAGTCAAAATGTCTCCCAGCATTTTTTCCCTATTCACTCTGCCTCTCCTGGCTTTTTCCTCACAAATTGCAAGGCGGCCAGAGGAAACTGACACAACTGTGTGTTGCTCGTTAGATCTCGACCTGTTTTCTGCAGATCTATTTTTATATTTGCCTAGAGCATAGGTGTCAAACTCAGGTCCTGGAGGGCCGCTGTCCTGCATGTTTTCCAAGTCTCCCTGTTGCAACACACCTGATTCAAATGATCAGATCATCAGCAAGCTCTGCGTAAGCCTGACATCGAACCTGTTCATTTGAATCAGGTGTGTTGCAACAGGGAGACTTGGAAAACATGCAGGACAGCGGCCCTCCAGGACCTGAGTTTGACACCTATGGCCTAGAGGCATTCAGTTTTGTTTGAAAGTTATTATATAATGAACTTTGCAGGCCATCTATTACGGGGGATTCTGTACGGTCCTGCAAAGTACACATTTGTTCCCTGATGTACATAGTGTTTTAGAGCATCTCATGGGCCTGCATCTACATGTTTGGATTTTGAAATGCTCCATTTGAGGCCAAATACATTTTGGCTTTATCCACATGCTGTTTTGTGAAAAAAAAATATTTTTATATATTCAATTGCACACGTGATGTGCTCCACCCACCTTTCCCTACACATAAAATGAGCACCACAGCAATTCTCCAAGTCAGCTTTATTTAAAATCAATTCTTGAATTCACTTCTGCAGACATACTTGTCACTCTATTCTGACTCATAAAAACTGGCAAAGTAGAATCTCACAAAGTCAATAAATGGTGAACTCATTTTAAGGCCCTTTAAAAAAGGCAAGTGGAAATAGTTTATAATGGAGGAATCAGGTTAAAATTGGTGTTCTGTGTTGACCTTACTGACACCAGTCAGATGCCTGCTAATTTACTATGTACATCTTTCGTCACTGCATTCAAAACAAACATCCACACAACCATGTTTTTGTCTTTTGAAGCTCTTTCTGACATGAGTGGTCACATAACTTCAACCTGTCTGAGAGAATGACACGAAAGCCGTGGGGTCCAGTCTGTTTCTTGTGTAAATGTAGCAGAGGTGGTGAGGTAGGCCCACTGAGCTGAATGCTCCCCCTAAGATACCCCCTACCTTACTTTTTGGTAACGACCAGGACAGCTGAAGGCACCAACCCTAAATGATGACAAATCAAGTGGAAATGAATTTGGGAAAGCAGAGATGTCCAGAACTGTATAACATGCAGCTGAACAGCACAATGAGTACTGGTCAACCTGTCTCACCCAGCTCTTTGAGGGGCTTCTCCATATCCAGATCAGTGTAGATGTGACGGGGATAAGGTGACAGCAATGTAAAGTCCTGACCCTCTGGCGTGTTGCCATTCACCTGCACGTAGACACGTACTGCCGCCAGTGGCTCCTGGGCCTTGAACACCGCTGTAAGGGTGGAGCCATCCAGCAGTCGCACCTGTTGTTAACGTGAGACAAGAGATAAAGTGAACTTGCTTTTCTCTGAAAAGCAGCTGAATGGCAAAGATCACAGCAGGTGTTTGATCCATTAGTTTCTCAGGATGACCATGACTCAGTGATTACACTATTCTGACAACATCCTGTTTGAGGCCTCACAATGGCCAGTGTATCGTTAAATACAATACTTAAAAAAAAAAAAAATTAGTCCATGTTAAATTGAATTTATGACCAACTTCACAATGTTCCCAATGTCTGATATTCAAAAGTTTCGACAGTACATAAATGATGTGCATCTGCTCTCAAGAGTTCCAGATCAAGGTTATTATAGTGTACGAAGTGAAAAAATATTTTCGTTTAAGTAAAACAAAAACTACATCAAATTTCAATTGCAATTCTGCTTACTGTTTTGCCACCTTAATTCAAATTGAAGAAGTGAATTGGAATTTAGGGGTCCTACTTAATTCAATTCTGAATTTCGTACAGCCGATTACTATGAAATACTTTTTTGTTTTCATTGCTATAGGTCAAGCGTACCAGAACAGGGCGCCGTTAAACCTCTGTAGGGGGCACTACAGACCCTTTTGTTTGTTTTTTTGTGTGTGTGTGTGTGTGTGTGTGTGTGTGTGTGTGTGTGTGTGTGTGTGTGTGCGCGCGCGCGCGCCAACTCCAATCTATGTGCAACGTTTGGTCAGTTTTCAGTCATTGTTAAGATCCTCAATAATTCAGCGGTGGCAGGTTTCTTTTTAGATGTAGGGGCTTAACACCTTTTCAGACCTTTGAAGGATCTGCAGGAATCCCGCCTTGATCTCATCTCATGATGTCAACAGCAAGAAGAAGAGGAGTGCTTTAATACCAATGAACCAGGAAATATATTGGTTCATTGATGCATCAGACAACAAACGTGCACTCAAAGGTTCAGAGAAGGCCAAATTCAAATCCTGACCTGTATCCTGGACTCGTCATACTCTTTCTTAATGGGGGGCAGGCCCTGACTGGTGGGTGACACTGGACTGGGCTGGACTGAAGTACTTGTTCCTCCACCTCCAAACTTTTGTCAACAAGGTGAGAAAAATTCCAGTCATGATGGTTGGATTTGCCACAAGGAAAAATGCAGAGTCACTTACCTTTTGTGCTCTCTCCTCCCTGTCTCTTGCTATCTTTTCTTTAACCCTTTGCCTAGTGGGGCAAAACTAAAGTCAATCAACATGATATCGCCGTTTCTTGCTCAGAGACTTGGACGGAGACCGTACCTGGCCAGCTTGTCTTCCATCTTCTCTCTCCGCCGCAGCTCTGCTAGCTTCTTCATGTCATCGTCTTGCAGCTTGTTGCGAATCTGCTGCAGCTCTTGGCCCTGCTTCCTGCGCTGCTTTTCCTTCTCCAGCTCCTCGGCACGCTCACGCTCTCGTCGCTCTGCCTGTTTCACTCGCATCAGCTCCTCCAGCCTGATGCATACAGGCCGCAGGAATCAGTTTGAAAGCCACTAAACTCAAAATGGTAACATGAAACATGCTGGAAAAAAAGCAAAGGGGGATTTTTCACTGCACATTGCAATGCATCTAATCTAACCTTAGAAGCAGTATGATGTACTGCAGTTATTACACTTTAAATTCTGTGGCATGTTCATACAATTTTAAGAGTGATTTTACTACACAATGTTTATTGTGACCTTTTTTCCTCACACTTGACAAATACCCTACATTTAAAAAAACTAAAATTAATAAGACAAAAAACCTAACCTGACAGAGAAGGATTTTTGAAAAAACAAAACCAAACTAACCTGCTTTAAAACTAACTATAATGAAAAATCCCAAACTATAACACTGGTGTGAACTCCGACCTTTTGACTTGCTGCTGTTTCTCATCTTCCGTCATGGGCTTTTTGTCAGTATCACCAACCTGGCTGCCTTCTCCACTCGCAACTGAGAGACAACAAAACATGCATCCATCCATTTTCATTTATCCTCACAAGATGTGGATGAAAAGGCAAAAAAACGATGGAGGAGCCCACTCCAAAGCCATGTAGTTTTACTTGTTGCTTAGATGCTACAATTGGAACAGAATATGCAAGTGGCTGTTTATATTTGAGTGTTTTCAGCCTCCATATACCTCCGGTTGTTTCCCCAAGCGAAGGCTCTTGCATGCCAGTCTGGTCATCGTCCAGTGCTGCAAGAACAGGAGGCTTATATGGCTCATCGATATCCGGATCGTTCTCATGCTCCATTAACCTGAAGAAAGCACATATGTAGATCGCCATCACTTTGCACGTTTCTGGGCTGGCTCTTGTGTGGATGTGACTCACCAGTCCATAGCTTGTTCGATTCCCTGGTTCCCAGTGCTGGCCACAGCCCTTTCTCTGAAAAGACAGAAGGGTATAAGCATTTCATCTTCCTCTTAACCTCTACAAACAGTATTTGTAATAGAAAAATCCACAGGCACTCACGCCCTGTTCCGGTCGAAGCCCATCTCCAAAAGGCTCTCAAGCGTTGTTAAGTCTGCCATTTTCAGCTGAAACACACATTTTTCATCTCTTTACATTCACTTTTTCTTTAGTTCTCACATTGACGGAAGTCACGTCATTAATACAGTCAGCTAGACGCAACACAACAATAGCCGGTATGACTTTGAACTGAAGCTCAGAATTCAGTTCAAAACAAATTTTAGAACTGATGATACAAGTCGCAAATAAAGCTTACGAAGATGAGGGTTATCTTACCACAGCGTGATCGAACGTGGCTGCCTTACACAACAAACTAAACTTAAATTAGCATTGATGTGGCTATGATTCAAAGAGCCCCTGCTAACATTAGCGTTCCAGTCCAGCGAGCTTTCGAAACAAAAGGCAACAAAAACACAGCGCCAACAAGCTTGGGCGTCACGTAAGCTATTACTATTTTAATCGTTGTTAAGCGTAAATATACTAAACTTTTAAAAAAACGCCTGTTCTACTTTAATGTCCCTAATGAACGACAAGTTTGTAACGGCGAGATCTCAGCTTACTCACGCTTTCGCGGCCACAGTACGGAAGCGCACGTAGTTCAAAAAAAACGACATCACATTGGTGAATCGATGAATAGTGTCACTATTGTAATATATTGATTTTATAACAACATTAAACAGCTCTTACCATAATTGTGTCAATCCGAATTGACATGTGCTTTAATATTGTGCAAATGACACTTTTATCACAACGTTCTGCCTTCAATTTACACGCTAAATAGTGATTGTTGGCGATTGAAAGGATCAATTAAAAAATATACAAATTCAATATTCGTGTTACATTTCACATCGATATGATTGTGTGACTTATTCAACCATTAATATTTTAATCTATTTGTATCGTAAATTAATGTTTATAATTGACTTACAGTACTTTGCCAAAATAACGGTTTAATCTATAATATATCAATAATTGTGATAAAGTCTTGTTATACCGTATATGCTTATTTCATAATAATTGTTTACATTTTTAGAACAAAATTCGACAAGGAATTGTGCCGCCATTGGTAATAAATTAACTCAATTTTAAAGCATAATTCTGGAGTCACTCTTATATCCAAACGCTACATCCATTATGTTTTGTCATTGCTCCACTTCACTGGCTCAGTCAGTTCACAGCAATTCCTGATCCGCAGTAAAATAGTCATCAGTGATCCCCAAAAATGTTTCAAGCTGTGTGACGGGCATCTCTTTTTTTAATCACATTATGTGTGTTTTGTTAGTGCACAAACACAATGACCACAATGACATTTGCTTTTTGAGTTTTATGAGCAGGGTGGGTCTGTTACATATTTACAGTAATTGTAATGATTAATTTCTTTCTCGCCCACTTTGCCATCTTAAGGAGCAGCCAGCCCAGGACCAAGCACTTTCTTGTCACTTTTTCTTGTCACCTTTCTTCAGAAGAGCTCTCCACCAGATGTACCACATCTTACTCACTTTTATATCTTTTTCAATGTAATCTTTTTTTTTTTTAACTTTAAAGTCAGACTCCATATTCTAGTCTGTAAGTATGGACTCATTGTGCATTCACATTAACTGTTACATAGTCAGTGTTCTTCATGAGCTACAAAATGCATGTTAATATATTTTATATGTGTTCAGTTTTGTAAATTATGTCATGCATAAACTACACATTCGACTCCTACGAAGACATTGTGGATCAAATTTACCAGGGTCATTGAGAGAATGGACAAGGGGAAAGAACTGGTATGCAATCAATGATCTTTGTTCATATAAATAATGCATTGGATTGATTTTGGTGTCTACACACACAACTGTAAATGATCATCACCTCTTTTGAAAAGTATCACATCATGTCATTTCTGTAAAAGAGCAGATCTCCTTCCAAAAATCACTGCTGCCATGTTATTTGTGAGGTAAGTATTTTTCATTTGCCATTATAGAAAATGTAAGTACAGTAACTCAATTAAATTCAGCTAGCATCAAGAAATGTTTACACTTGTGGCTCTCATTTTGAGTAATGGATTAAAACAAAGACAATCTATTTTCATCTAAGAGGTAAGCTTTTGTTGTAAAACAACAGGGTGAAGGAAACTGTGACTGTGCAAACTTGAATTGCTTTATGGCCCTGTTTTTTTTTTCTCACTCGGAAGGAGTTAAAGGTCAAAGCTCATTCCCGATTTCAGAAATTCAGCAAAATTGTTCAGGAAAAAATGTACACAATGAACTTAACTCCATATCGTACTCAAAACATTTCTGAATTGGTATGTATTTCATGAATTCACATGATCACTCTTTGTATCGCACAGATTCTTTATCAGGTGAATAACCCTCATTTTATTGGCGTCATAAGAGTAAAAATGTAATCTCATTGGGGAGGGTAAAAGCCAAGGACATGAAAGTGCTTGAGTTTAGGTTTATTACTCGTGGGTCGTGTTATCACTTGAGGGCTGTAATGTTATCAGTAGACGATTTCTTCAGTCAGAAAACTGACCAAAAGAGGGCAGCAATACTTCGTTTGTGAACACTTTTCTGCCTGGAAGTTATTACTCAAGCAGGAAGCTCCTTTCAAGAAATACTGGGATTCCCAAGTTAAAGTTTAGACATTTCTGTGCAACCACTGTGTCGAAATACTGACGTAATCATGGTAATTAAAACAACTTGACATTTGAAAAAGTGTTTAGTTGTGATTCCTAATACCTGAAGCATCCTTCCTTCCATCGTCTTACTAAAATTAATACTACCGCATTCACTTTTCCAACAAGTCGTGCCTGGCAGCGGTGCTCTTTTAACTGTGGGTCTCACCAGCTGTAACAGCATCTCCATATGGGAAAACTTGGGCTTCCAGTGGAGCTGCTGTTATGTGTGGAGGGACACCGCTTATCATCCCAAACCTCCATATCGGCTACATCTTATATATCAAATTTCTTGTATTTTGTTAGTGTTCCATCAATAAAATAAATTGAAAAGACATTATCTCTGTGTTGTTGTTCATTTGTATGGTAAATTGGGCAGCTCAACTTCAACTCATATAACTACAAGCCAGTGGCGGATGGTGGTCTGTCAAGGAGGGGAAGCTCAATTTCGGCCTACATCATAAAATGTCTCCGTTTATTGAGACCTGAATTCTACTCTCCGTTCCTTTTCAAAAAAAAAAATTCGGCCTACATCATAAAATGTGCCTGTTAATTGAGACGTGAATTCTACTCTCCGTTCCTTTTCAAAAAAATAAAAAGGATGCCTTCACCATAAGATCAGTGATTGGCTCAGTTCGCTGTCAATCAAAAAGAAGATTCAGCCTCAGACAGATCATCCAATCATCATGCAGAAAAGCTGAGCTTCCGGGCCAGCCGATAAACGCCCACTGTCCATAGACTAGAGACGCTGAGCGCCCGATGGGCGGGACAAAACCAGCATTTATCCAGACTCGTCTCGTTTCAATGCATTAACAACCACACTGAACTCTGGAGACCACAGCGTCCAAGTGGTCGACGCTCAGCGTCCACACAGTTTAAAGCACAGGGACGCTTTGTGAATGAATGAGAAGAGAGTCGTGTTGTAACCAGTAATAAGAAGCTCATTCGGAACAAAGGTTGAGCACGTTGTAGGCATATTTAGTCAATGACATGTCCAAACAATGATACGTACACACATAAATTTGATCACTTACGTTTTGAAATTTTAGGGGAAGCTGAGCTTCCCTTGCAGTCTTAGAGCAATGGCCTCTGCTACAAGCAGTATAGAAGGGGTATGTTTAGTCAACCACACTTCATGTTTTAAAATTCATCAGGTTGACATTATATGGACAAAAAAAAGTGGAATAAATAAAGACGTGTCTTAACAATGACACTGTACGTTTAAATGACTCCAACCCATATTGGCCTTCCAGTTACGTCAACTTTTTACGTAAGGTTTTCAGTTAAATAACAAGAAAACCTCAAATCAAAAAGGTATGTGGTTGACATACAATACCAGTGATGCCCACAAAACAAAACAAAACAAAACGCATTTGTCAGATTGTTACAAATTCAACATTTCAAGCTTCCAATAAGAAAGAGAAAATAAAACAAAAAATATTGTGGTTGACTACCATTGTTGTTGATACCCCAAATATTAAATTTGTCAGGATCTTCTAACGGGAACAGCGCCCCCAACTATTAACAGGCAAAGTGCACATTCACTTTATAAATATCGGTTAAAAAAAAAAAACTCACTGTGAATATTATATAACTGAAAGTATAAGTAATTGAAAAGCGCCCGAAAGACAATATATATTTCAAAATAAGTGTGTCGGGGCGCGGGGGGTTCAATTGAAACCTAAAAAAAAAATAACACAATAAAAATGCCTTCAGTTATATACGTTTTATTAAAGTCATGCACAACGAGGTCGCAACTGTGACCAGGTTTGTGGTCAATATCTGCGCCTCATAAATGTGAAGCAACTTTCCAATTAAATTATTTTATCATTGGAAAATGACAATGAAATGGCCATTCCTCTTGCCGTACAATGTCAGGTGACGACAACGTCACAAAAAGCCGAAATTATTATCCTTATTTGCAGTAACGAACATCGAAAATTATACTAATACAACGCCTTCATTTAAATTAGATGTATGTTTTCTTAAAATACATATTAAAAAATTTAATTGGCATCACCAAAGAGTGACTCATATTTGGAGGAACGTGTAGCGCTATATGGCTTGCTAGCACCGTGGAGGGGTGGGGACAAAAACTTGCCAGACCTCGCCCAGCCATTGCTTCATTCCGACGGGCCCCTAACCAGCAAGAAGCTGCGAGAAAGCTGCACCGTTACACCAGGTTTACGTCGAAGGGGGATTCTGACACAGTTGTGTCAATAAAGTTCATACACCATGTTTAGGAAGACCTTAAAAAAGGACCCTGAGCTGTTTCAGAACGTGGCGGACGGGCTACGGCAGCTTTACCGGACCAAACTGTTCCCTCTGGAGGACACGTATCGATTCCACGACTTCCACTCTCCTGCCCTCGAAGATGCCGACTTCGACAACAAGCCCATGGTGCTGCTGGTGGGACAGTACTCCACCGGCAAAACCACTTTCATCCGCCACCTCATGGAGCAGGACTTCCCCGGCATGCGGATCGGGCCCGAACCGACCACGGACTCTTTTATCGCGGTGATGCATGGGGATCAGGATGGGGTGATCCCGGGTAACGCACTGGTCGTCGACCCGAAGAAGCCCTTCCGCAAACTCAACGCCTTTGGAAACGCCTTCCTTAACAGGTACAAACCTACTCATAAGTTTCGAAAATTAATCGAATAATAAATAATACATGTCTTAGAAATCCTCCATTATCCCCAAGTATTGGGGTGTAACATCTAAATGAAAACTACACGCGATTTAAGCCAACACACTGAACACACGCGCGCACACACACACACACACACACACACACACACACACACACACACACGTACGCCCTTTTTCATTCTTTTTCAGTTTCACTCAGCTACAGGCTGTTACACAATCTTATAAGCTGTGTCACGTTTGGGTGAAT